GCTTCTTCTTCTTCTTCTTCTTCTTCTTCTTCTTCTTCTTCTTCTTCTTCTTCTTCTTCTTCTTCTTCTTCTTCTTCTTCTTCTTCTTCTTCTTCTTCTCAACTTGCCCTCACGTGGGTTGTCCAGGCTAGCCCAACCTTGTCACGTCTCCTAAACCAGTGGTGGCGAACCTATGGCACGGGTGCCAGAGGTGGCACTCAGAGCCCTCTCTGTGGGCACGCGTGCCATCGCCCCAGCCAGGCCCAGACCACCATTAAAGTGTCGAATTCTCTGCCAAATAATTTAAAGTAAATGAAAGCATTTGGGATTGCTTTCCTTACTTTGTTTGGATCATCTTAAGTTAATGTATGAGTTGTTTTTGCCTAAAGTAAAACCTCAGTATTCAGGTTAAATGGCCGTGTTGGCACTTTGCGATCAATAAGTGGGTTTTGGGTTGCAGTTTGGGCACTCGGTCTCTAAAAGGTTCGCCATCACTGCCCTAAACTAAGCAGGGGCGGCCCTGGAGAGGACTTGGATGGGAGACCACCAGGGAAGTCCAGGGTAGCTACGCAGAGGCAGTCAACGGCCCACCACCTCTGCACATCTCTCGCCTTGAAAACCCAACAGGGTTGCCCATAACTCAGCTGCAGCGGGATGGTCCTTTCCACCCCCATAAAGGGGTCGCAGACGCCTGGGGCCTATTATGGAAACGGATTCCTACCTCTGGGATGTCAGCGACGAGGAAGTCGAAGCTCCATATCTCCCGCGCAAAGAGGAGCACCAGGAACAAGAGAGTCGGCCGTCTCATCTTCTCCCTTTCTTGAGAAGAGAGAGCAGGTCGGCCGGGCGGCAGGTCTCTCTCGGCTCCCCCGAACCAAGTTCAAGGAAAGGAAAACAGGAGACCCTACAGTGTTTTGAATGCTCTTTAGAACTGCTAACTTTGTTCCGGCTTGGGCAAATATTTACCTCACTAACGCAAGCCGGGCCACAGGTCGAGGGCTGAGCAAACAGGGCCGGCCTAATGGCGGGATTCCGCTTTGGAGATCTGCCCTCTGCTCCCGTCTCGGCCCCGCTCAGAGGAGGCCGTCAGGCTGGAGGGGCGGGTGGGGGGTTGGAAAGGAAGGGGGGAATATCTATACAAATAGATACAGTGCACTTCACTGGGTCGCCAACTTCCAGGGGGGGGCCTGGAGATCTCTCAGAACTAGAGTCTCCGGAGAACAGAGATCAGTCCCCCTGGAGAAAGTGCTGCTTTGGAGCGCGGACTCTCTGGCGTTATACCCTGCTGAGATCCTTCTCCAAACCCCAGATCTCCTTCTCCATCCTTCTCCAACCCCCAAATCTCCAGGAATTTCCCAACCCAGAATTGGAGGGGCCATTGGCCTGATCCAAGATGGCTTCTCTTATGTTCTTATGGCCCTGCTGGTGGACCTCCTGAGGGCCCCTGGGTTTTGGGCACTGTGTGACACAGAGTGTTGGGCTGGATGGGCCACTGGCCTGATCCAAGATGGCTTCTCTTATGTTCTTATGGCTCTGCTGGTGGACCCCCTGAGGGCACCTGGGTTTTGGCCACTGTGTGACACAGAGTGTTGGACAGAAGTGGCCACTGGCCTGATCCAACATGGCTTCTATTATGTTCTTATGGCCCCGCTGGTGGATCTCCTGATGGCACCTGGGTTTTGGCCACTGTGTGACACAGACTGGATGGGCCATTGGCCTGATCCAAGATGGCTTCTCTCATGTTCTTATGGCCCCACTGGTGGACTGGCTGATGGTGCCTGGGTTTTGGCCACTATGTGACACAGAGTGTTGGACTGGAGGGGCCATTGGCCTGATCCAACATGGCTTCTCTTATGTTCTTATGGCCCTTGTGGTGGACCTCCTGATGGCACGTGAGTTTTGGCCACTGTGTGACACAGAGTATTGGACCGGATGGGCCATTGGCCTGATCCAACATGGCTTCTCTTGTGTTCTTATGCCTGGGGCAGTGATGCTTTGTGTTCTTGGTGCTTGGGGGGCCAACAGTGGGAGGGCTTCTGGAGTTCTGGCCCCGCTGTTGGACCTCCTAATGGCCCATGGGTTTTGGCCACTGTGTGACACAGAGTGTTGGACTGGAGGGGCCACTGGCCTGATCCAACATGGCTTCTCTCTCTTTTTTTAATGTACATCAGCTGGAACGTACAAGGGTGTCTTCTGCTGAGTCAGAGCCCTGGTCCATCTCACTCCGTAGGATCACCAGCTCTGGGTTGGGAAACACCTGGAGATGCTGGGGGTGGAGCCTGAGGAGGGCGGGGCTTGGGGAGGGGGGAGATCTCAGTGGGGGCTGAAACGTCATCAGTCCATCCTCCAAAGCTGCCATTTTCTCCTCTGTGGTCTATCTGGAGTTTGGCAATCCTAGGTAGGACTGAGGCTAGTTATCAGGACCAGAATCCTGCAGGTACTTACAGCTGGACTTAGTCCAGCGTCCTTCAAATCCTCATGATGGATCCTGATTGTTAAAAGCCCTGTGGGTGGAGGAGAAGTCCCAAGCAGCCAAGCAGGCACTCTCTCTCTCTGCCACTAGAATCTCTGGCCCCCTCTGGGAGCTCCGGCTTTTGCTCCGTCCTGGCAAAAGAACCCAGAGGCTTAGCAGAGCTGAGTTTCTCTCGATGAAGGTGTGCCTTTCCTCAGGCACTTTGGGGAGGAAGCAGCTGGGCTGGCATGAGAAATCGGGGTGGGGGGGGTTAAGTGAGGGCTGTTCCGGTGATCTTCCAAAAGTTCACTCCCTGCCCATGATTCATAACCCTTGCTTGCAAGATGATAACCCTCCTCCTCAGAGCCAGTTCATGAACACACACGAAGCGGCCTCATACCGAAGCAGACCCTCAGGTCCACCAAGGTCAGTATTGTCTACTCAAACTGGCAGCAGCTCTCCAAGGGTCTCAGGCAGAGGTCTTTCACCTCCTACCCAGCTTGGCGTGGTGGTTAGGAGCGGCAGACTCTAATCTGGGAGCACCGGGTTGGATTCCCCACTCCTCCACTTACAGCTGCTGGTGTGACCTTGGGCCAGTCACAAGTTCTCTCCGAGCTGTCCTCTTACGAGCAGTTCTCAAAAGACCCCTCTCGGCCCCACCAACCTCACGGGCGTCCGTTGTGGTGAGGGGAAGGGAAAGGAGATTGTAAGCCACTCTGAGACTCTTTCAGGTAGGGAAGGGTGGAGTATGAATTCAGTCTCCTCTTCTTCCTGGTCTTTTCAACTGGATTGAATTTGGGACCTTCTGAATGCCAAGCAGATGCTCTACCACTGAGCTACAACCTCACTTCATGGCTCTCGAGGGTCTCAGGCAGAGGTCTTTCACATTGCCTGGTCCTTTTTAACTGGAGATGCTGGGGATTGAACCTGGGACCTTCGGCATGCCAAGCAGATCCATGCCCCCTCTGTATAAATCATATGATACCTTTTTTCATGGGATTTCATGCATTTTCATGTGTTCCCTGCAGCTGAACTGCTTCTTTTTTAAAAAAAGGAGAGCCCAAACCAGCTCAGAATGGCACAGCGGGAAGAGGAAGGGTTGTTGCTTAAGAACTCAAGCGAAGCCAATGTTGGATCAGGCCAATGGCCCCTCCAGTCCAACACTCTGTGTCACACAGTGGCCAAAACCCAGGTGCCCTCAGGAGGTCCACCAGCAGGGCCATAAGAACATAAGAGAAGCCATGTTGGATCAAGCCAGTGGCCCATCCAGTCCAACACTCTGTGTCACACAGTGGCCAAAACCCAGGTGCCATCAGGAGGTCCACCAGCAGGGCCATAAGAACATAAGAGAAGCCATGTTGGATCAAGCCAGTGGCCCATCCAGTCCAACACTCTGTGTCACACAGTGGCCAAAACCCAGGTGCCCTCAGGAGGTCCACCAGCAGGGCCATAAGAACATAAGAGAAGCCATGTTGGATCAAGCCAGTGGCCCATCCAGTCCAACACTCTGTGTCACACAGTGGCCAAAACCCAGGTGCCCTCAGGAGGTCCACCAGCAGGGCCATAAGAACATAAGAGAAGCCATGTTGGATCAAACCAGTGGCCCATCCAGTCCAACACTCTGTGTCACACAGTGGCCAAAACCCAGGTGCC